CCTACAATCATGTGAAAAAGAAACTACTCCCCCATTCAGTCTGAGGTTTTACATGTCAGAATGCTATTTAAAAAGGCAATCTGGTTTCTAACAGTTTCTAAATTATTTAAATGCAAGATGAACAACAAAACATGACATATTACACAGCACACTAATTTCTACACAGCATCATTTTTTAACACCCACGTAGCCAAAATGCAGAAGCAGTCTGTAAAAAACTAGCGATTCAAGGTCCTGCTAACCAAACGCACTTAATCACCAGCAAGTGTGTGCACCATTGTGAAACCAGAGGTTTTAGCAGTGTCTATTCAATGGGTGTTAACACAACGCTGTGTATGAAAGACACCAGCTGTGATCTCAGGGAAGCAATTGGTGCTTAATATTGGGTTATGGGGTACTTTCCAAACATTTTGAAGGCCGCCCACTCTACAGTGAGAAGTGGAAACAGTCCAGATAGCTGCCAAAAAAAAGTTCACAAGATGTTAAAGATGTTCATGACAGTAAAGTTAGAAAACGACTGAAAAGGAGGAACCCTTTTCTTTCTGAAATGCAAAAGAATACCAAATACAGCTCAACCATACTGAGATGTTTCGACAAAGTTTAGTTTAATCTTTTGAAAGTAAAGACTTCCTGAACTTGATGTCAGAGTACGGAATATTCCTTTCTATTTCCACCTCTCCACCTCCATTACAATATGACACCACCTCTTCATTTATTAGTGTATTTCTGTCCTCTGAACTGTCTGGAGGAGTTGCTGTTTAGTTGTGGGCTGCCTAACAGTTTTTTCTTTCTACTAAATGCTGACATCAGCTTGCTGATTCAGAGCCCAGTCATTTCTTTTCTCTGTATCATAAGTCATGTGGGTCCTGAAGCCCTGTCAAACTAGGAAGTGGTAAGCCTTTTCACTCATGTGCCGACCAGTCTTTAAATATGGTACAGTACCGCTGTCATTTTTGGTTTTTGTCAGTCCTTTTTGGTCACGTTTCTTTTCCAGACCTAGTGCATGACTCTAAAGAAGCCTGAGCAATCACAAGGTTTGCTGTCGTCTAGCTAAAAATGATTGTATTCTTAGAGCCTTTTGTCAAATAACAGACCTCAAGTCTCGATTTCAGTACTGAGCCTCCATCAGGCTGCACTTGTAGCACATAATATTTATCATTTAATATCTTTTGCACTTCTGTGTCAGAAGTGCAGCTCAGTCACCAGAGCCACGTGGTCCTTTTTATCAGGTCATTTGATCAGTACTGCATGTATTTAAGTTTAAAATAAGATAAGACTTTATTCCACAGTGGGGAAATTTGTGCATTACCACAGCTCACGGACAGGTAGCAGAAGAATACAAAGAGTATACCAAGAATATAAAGTCACGGAATAGAAAATAAATAAGATAATACAATATATACAACAGTAGCTGGGGTTCTGTGTACACGCTTACACAGTATGTGTTATGGATGGAGGGTTGTGGAGATATGCAAGTAATAAAGTTAAACTATGCTACTATTACTATTACTATGTAAGTAATAGATATCTATAAGTATCTAAGTATCTATAAGTATAGACATGTATATGCACACACACAAGCACAAATACACATACATACATACACAATAAATATAAATATACATACACATATACATGCACAGGTCCATATATGTGAAAGATGCATTTTATGCATGAGGTGGTAATTGTGGATGACCACAGTGTCCAAGTGACTCATGACATTGTGACTGAGGAGTTATAGAGCGTAACTGCTGTCAGGATGAATGGTCTGTCAAAGCGGTCCTTCCTGCAGCAAGGTTGTTTCAGTGTCTGACTAAAGGAGCTGCTCAGTGCGCTCACAGATGTATGTATGTATATTATACCTGCTTCCCTTATAGTCTTATGACAGAGACGATACCTAGTTTTATCTATCCACAAAGCCAGAATACACATACCAGTTTTATAAACCAACCAACAACTTAACAACATGAAGACCTGGATGACCTCTAATTTCCTGCTTCTGAGGATGTGATGCATAAGAATGCCTTTAAACGACAACAGAAACATCTGTTTGTGTACAAGAAACAGCTGGATGTGTTGGCTGAAGGTGCTATCAGGAGGCCACTGCTACAAATTCTCTGTTTATGCTCAGCTCAAATCAAAATGTAAATGTATGTTTTTTTAATGGTATAATTATTTCTGTAATTCTTACAGAACTTATAACCTATATCTATTTCCTTGACCCATTCAGTCAAAAAAGTGCTCACATTATGTGGATAATGGGGTGGTATGTTTTCTAACAGCAAGTGTGTGTTAACAAGATGCTATCATTAGTAAGAGACAAATAGAATTTTAATTTCACACGAGGACTGAAGCAGAAACTCCTCAGTGCAGAGGAGTCCAATATGGAAGCCATATTTGTCATAGGGCCCTGGAGGCCAGTGCATGGAAATGGACCTGGAAGTGAGGAGTGAATATAAGGAGGTGAGAGGAATACTGATTCTGTGGATGGAGGTAGTAAGACTCTGGGGAGGGAAACCGAGTGAGGATCCGTGAGGTGAGTAAATGAGCTTCCAACCCTATTTTATTCTTATGATCCAGAGGAGATGATGGGCAGGAGGACAGGTGGGTGAAACAGTGAGTAGTTTTGATCCCAAGGAACAGATTGCAGAGAGGTGTGGAGAGTCTTACCAAGCAGACCAGCATCCAGGTCATTGAGCTGCAGGTGAGCAAAGCGGTGACTTGATGAGGAAACTGTAGGCACAAGAAAACCAGGTAAGTTAAAACCATGAGCATGAACAGAAGAAGCAATGAGGCCTGGTTACCACCATGAGGTAGCTGACGAACTGGTGGAGAAATGATGACAGTGTTGGTCTTAAATATAGCCTCACTGACTAACCAGATGCCAGGTTAGTAGGGCAAAGTGTGGAATCAGGAAGCAGACACGGGTTAACACAGGAAGCCGGTGGAGAAACACCAGACTCTCACTCAAGTCTTGACAATATTATAATCACATCCAATAATTCCAATAGAAATACTCAAAAAAATGCACACACAACACAAACCTAGACAGGTCCAGTTCATTGATTTAGGGCCATGGGCCTAAAGTTAAGCCCAGATAAAAGTGAATACAGCTGTAGCAATAGCTACGAGGAGGGCAAATTAAATAACACGCCAACACCATTTTCCCCTGATAAACTGCCAAAGTCACGGCTGAAACTTAGAGGAGACCGAGCGTTCTCTGTTGCCGCGCCGATGCTTTGGAATAACCTTCCTCTCCATATTAGACAGGCTACATCAGTGCCAGTTTTTAAGTCATTATTAAAAACCTATTTTTATTCCCTGGCTTTTAACTCTGTGGGTAACTGACTTTTTTTATTTTTATTTTTTATTTATTTATTTTTATAATTTTTTTGCTATGTCTGGTTTTATTACTATGTGCATATTAGTATTGTACAGCACTTTGGTCTACCAGGTGTGTTTTTAAAGTGCTATATAAATAAATGATGATGATGATGAATATGGCTGAAGAGGAATATTTTAACTGGGGGATTTACTCAGTCAGAAAAGTGTCTGAAAATTTTGATCTTTGCGTGTGTGGTTCATCAAACTAACACGATCAACAACTTCATATTTCTGTCACAATTTACATTTCCTCCAGAGCAGAGTGTGAAACTTTTCTGATCTTCTGCTAAAAAGTATATTAGAAGGATCAAAGAAGCAGTTGTAGTGTCTCTAGATTTCTTTTATTATACCTGTTTCAGGGGCAAAACAGTTTAACTTAAAGAGGAAACCTTATATACAGGGAGTGCAGAATTATTAGGCAATGAGTATTTTGTCCACATCATCCTCTTCATGCATGTTGTCTTACTCCAAGCTGTATAGGCTCGAAAGCCTACTACCAATTAAGCATATTAGGTGATGTGCATCCCTGTAATGAGAAGGGGTGTGGTCTAATGACATCAACACCCTATATCAGGTGTGCATAATTATTAGGCAACGTCCTTTCCTTTGGCAAAATGGGTCAAAAGAAGGAGTTGACAGGCTCAGAAAAGTCAAAAATAGTGAGATATCTTGCAGAGGGATGCAGCAGTCTCAAAATTGCAAAGCTTCTGAAGCGTGATCATCGAACAATCAAGCGTTTCATTCAAAATAGTCAACAGGGTCGCAAGAAGCGTGTGGAAAAACCAAGGCGCAAAATAACTGCCCATGAACTGAGAAAAGTCAAGCGTGCAGCAACGCAATGTTGACGGTGAACAGATCAAAACACTGACAGAATCCATGGATGGCAGGCTTTTGAGTGTCCTTGCAAAGAAAGGTGGCTATATTGGTCGCTGATTTGTTTTTGTTTTGTTTTTGAATGTCAGAAATGTATATTTGTGAATGTGGAGATGTTATATTGGTTTCACTGGTAAAAATCAATAATTGAAATGGGTATATATTTGTTTTTTGTTAAGTTGCCTAATAATTATGCACAGTAATAGTCACCTGCACACACAGATATCCCCCTAAAATAGCTAAAACTAAAAACTACTTCCAACAACATTCAGCTTTGATATTAATGAGTTTTTTGGGTTCATTGAGAACATGGTTGTTGTTCAATAATAAAATTATTCCTCAAAAATACAACTTGCCTAATAATTCTGCACTCCCTAGTTCAATTAAATGGCTTAAATTCCAAGCAGAAGGTTTAGAGTTTGAGGATTTGTTGATACCTAGATAAGCAGGCAAAAAAATTCTGTCAACGTGGAAATGTTGTGGTTTGTTTGTTTTTTTATTTTAACTAGAAGGAAGGGCTAGGAATTTACTGTCAGTCAAAATGGAAAACCAAATATAATCAGGGGTCCCTAATAACAATGCACAAACTGGCAGCATCAATCATGTGACTGTAGACCACATTTAAGTGTCTTTGCACATCTCTGTCTATGTGAGAAGCTTTTTCTCGGAAAGCTGGCACATTAGAAGTTCAAACTTGTAAAGGGGTGGAGGTGTGATGTACCACAACCACACACACAAGCGCACAGGCAGACAGAAGCACGTCAGCAGTTCTCTCTGCATATTTTCCTTCACTCTCTAATATATATCCAAACATTAATCAACTTGTGTTAGTTGCAACTTGACCGGTGAGCCAGACCACCAGTGAAAATGTCCGTGAAGATCCACACCATCGCTCTCCTTCTGCTCTCACTCTATCTGTGCTGGCAGCTCTCTGCAGGTAACTGTGTTTTCTTCTCTAAAGAAAAAAAGAGAGATAAGATGTATTAAACTGATTGAATATTGTCTATATTATTGTAGGGTCCTTGTCTTACAATATGAAACACTTTAAAGAGACTGTTGTTGTGGTTTGCCGCTATATAAATAAAAAGGAGTTAAACTGAATTTGTCATTACCTCACTGCAGAGCTTAGCTTTTCATCTCAGGCTAGTTTCGTAACAACGTTACTGCTGCTTAGGCCTGCTTTCATGTACACATACATTTATTTTTGTCTACATGAAGGGTGTCCATGGCCCACAATTAGGCCAAGTCGATCTCAAGTTTGCGCAAACAGTAATACAATTGCATAGTAACCAACTCTCATTTTAATATAAAGAAGTAAACATTTACACCCTGAGATAGTGGAGTTCCAACAGTGGGTCTCACTACATGATTATTACAGATCACAGTGGACTTAGAAAAGCACAGAACATTCATTTGCATTGGGGTTTTTTTTTTTACTCTTAATGGTTAAAAATAAGTTGGCAAGATTTAGAAAAACTTGCAACTTTCTGCAAACTGTCATGCCTGTGGAGCAAACTGAAGACTTTTAAGGCTTCACTGCATTTTTATGCTTTAGCGAGACATGTTTGACACATACACTATACAGCTCTGCTTTTGAGCATGTGTGTGATATGCTTTGCTTATTTTGGGGGTAAAACAGAAGTAATAGAGCTTACCTACTGTAACATCAAACACATATCTTACAGTTTGAGTATCTTACAGTAGGAGTGACAGGGAGTGGATATAGCTTCACTAACTTGCTATTACTGCACATCCTAACTACCCAGTCCTTTTATTTATTTCATATGTAGCTGTAACTCACTATCAAAAAATGGTTTATATAAACTTTGACACCAGTTGTATTCTGTCCATTTTTTACACTCTCACCTTCTACCCACCAAGCACCAGATGTCTGTAGTAGACGGTGTTTCCCAGGATAAATTTGTTCAGTTAGTCATGGCCTTTTAAAAGATGCTCCTTTATGTCTAAATTTGTTGTTTTGTTTTTTTTAAAGTGAAGGTTTAGTAGAAGTTTTCAGATTATATATCTTTTGGATTGATAAACCATATTTATGCAGTTTATGCTGTCAGCTGACTTGTACAAGCCTCTGGCTAATTAATACTGCCAACATTATAAGGGTGACACAAAGATTCAAAACACCGTCTTTATAGACATTTGCTATTTAGAAATCTGGCATAGTTATGTCTGCAGTATTGTTCAGTGGCTACATTGTAACACATTGTCCCTCTTACACCAAATAAATATGTAGAAATGCCTCAAGAAGGCCCCCAAGTGGTGAGTTTTTCTTCTGCTCAGCTGGCCCACTTTTCCTGTTTATAAACAGGGTTAATGAACAATAACAAATTCTTCACATCTGTTAGTGGAAACAGATTGGTTTGAATTACTATGTGTAATGCACTTTGATGTTTCATCAACTCATTTTCTTATTTGTTTCCATAGTGTCAGAATGGTTACAGCGTTAAGCACAGAAACATTTACAAAATTTCAAGTAACATTTCAACAACCATTTTTTTTTATCATTATTATTATTTAGAGGAGTTTTATTATTTATTTTAAACGTGGAGTTCCCTTGGATTTTCTGTTCAATTACACTTCTCAGGCCAAATACATAAATGTCTGATCGACTTTCTCTCTCAGCTCGCCATGCTCCAAGGAGAAGGCCGTGCTGCGTTCTGGTCACCAGCCGCAATATGAGCGCTGACGTGGTGGGGCAAACATACCGTGAGCAGCCTGCAGGATCACCCTGTGTGAAGGCTATAATGTAAGTCTGAACATGTTGCCCTACGCACGAACATAAACACACACATTTCCATAACTTTTTCATTTTATTTCTAGTTTCCACACAAATGACGGACCGCTTTGTGCTGATCCGAAAGCTCAGTGGGTCAAGGATCGTAAGTTATGCTAACACACAGACTCAGGCACAAACTCAGTAAAAGTGTTTGCACAAAAAACTGAAGCTCCACTTCCTCTTTCTTCACTAGTCGCTGCGAACATGACGAAGGTGTGAAGTACGAAGCCTCTGGTGAAGCATCGCTGCCTTTCTGCATCATCTATATCTCCTTTGAAATGACCTTTAATTTAAACCAGAGCGCCTTCTTTTAATATAACTGTCTTATAACTGTTCTTTATTTTTTTACTCTTACCTTTGGTGTAGCCTTGTAATTTATTCTTGCTGTTGACTTCAGTCTGTCATGATGCCAACATTCTAGTTTTATTTTATTTTATTTTATTTTATTTTATTTTATTTTATTTTATTTTATTTTATTTTATTTTATGTTTGCGCTTATGTGCTTCTGTAAAGCTGGTACAGCTAGGTGCTGTGTCACGTAAATGTTAATTCCATGCCATTAAAATGCTCCGGATGGCAGCAACAACACAAGTATGTGGTAGACGTCCAGTTTAATGCCTAAATAAAAACGAGCCACCCTGAAGTTTTTTTTTCTAATCTTTGCATATATGTGTTGAAATTACAATCTATAGATTTCAATATTACATTTTGAAGTGAGTTTTAATTTGTTTCAAAGGACAAAATAACTTAATGTCAAATTAATGTCAAATGTAAATTACCAGCAAATTAAATAAAATTAAAAGCATAATAGTCCTTTTTCTTTGTCATTCAAACGTGCCAGCCTCTGTGACAGATGCCAACAATCACTGTGTGGTTTGTTTTTTATTCAACTACAAGAAAAAAAAACAGTCACTGTCAGCTAGAATGGAAAAACAAAAATCATGACAATACACAAAAAATCCGTAATTAGACTGTACAGCACATTTAAGAGTCTGCGCCTGTTTTTGTTTGTAATGTTGTTTCTGTTGCTGATGTTGGGGTCATCTTGTAATCTCTTACAAACTACCTCCACTGCTTCAGTGACTGTTACACAAGTAAAGAGAGATGTAACATTGTACAAGATCATTGACTCATCTGCCTCCATAACAACATCTCTCACCTTCCCAAGAAACAGCAAAGTGTTGTGGATGTGGTGTTTAGGGCTGCCTGTCAACGGGTTGAGGATCGAAGCCAGAAACTTTGCAATGTTATAGGTGACTGAGTGGATCATACAGACAGTTTGTCTTCAAGGTACACCGTCTTTATGTATCTTCATTAAACCATACAGACTTGGGTATAGTCTGTGGTATGAGGTCCCATCAGTGGCATTGTCTTGTTCTAACTGCTTCACACAATCTATCACCCCCTGCCTGTAACCACTTCCTGGGTCTCATTTCAGGGGCTCATACAATTTTTCTCACTGAGCAATGACAAAATTTTCTCACGATAGTCTTTCTGTTTTAGCAAAACTGTGCACCCTCCCTTGACTGCCAGAAGGATGATAATGTTGCTGTCATTATTAATATTTCTCCCCCTGAAAATGCTTTGGGAGTTCAGAAACTACTCATCTAGCATCTCTAAGAGTTACAGTGAAGGGTCTAAAAGATAAGAATAAATACACAAATTTGTTTTGGACTGAAGATGTTGCTGGGATACTGTCACAGTCATACTGTGACACAGATTTGTTGGTGTGGGGAATAACAACAAGCTTTTTTGATGTGTGTCACACATTTATGCTCTTCTAACCTTGATGTCTGGCACAGAGTGAGTGGGTGTGCCAGATCAGCTGCCTGTTGCTGGCACTGATCTGAGTCGTGGTAACGATTTAGCTAGAAATGAGTGTTTCCTGTCTCCCCCAGAACAACCAGAAATCCTGCTGTTGATGTGCGTGTTCATTGCCCCGTTGTGCTGCATGCATCCTCAGTTCAGAAGCTTAGTAGTTGGTGGAGATGCTTCTGCCAGCCCTTCCTGTGAAAGACAAAAAAAATAGTCTGTGCAGGGATGAAATACACAATTTCAATGCATCTGTTGCAGCTGAACACATATGATTTCCTTTTCTGTCACGTACGCTCAAACTTTTGCCACGTCTATATAACTTGTGGTTAACCACACGCACAGAGTTGATGCAAGAAATTCTGTATAAATGGCTGACAGAAGAGTTTAGTGCTTTTGATACATTCTTGCTATAATACTCTGAAATAATGACTTTGTATGTAAAAGGAGAAAAACACGAATATCTTTAAGTGGACTGGATGATGAAGGATGAAATTGCACAAATTCAGGGAAACAGAAAGTGAAATCAGACTGAATGTCTGCCTGAGGCCCGCATCTTGTGAAATGTTTAGTTTCTTAATGTCACGTATGAGTCTTATTGTGCAGGAGTAACTCTGCTTACTGTAACTGAAGCTATTTTAATGTGTAGAAGGGGTACATAGCATCCACACTGTGGAACTTCAGCTTTGCATTTCTGCTTTGTTCTTTTTGCTTCCCAACGACATTGACCTTACTCTGATTTAACCGCCCCCCCCCCCCCACACACACACACACACACACACACACACACTTTTCCAGTGTCAGCTTGAAGCTCTGTATTGGCCTTTCTGTGACTTTCTGAATCTAACAAACCTAATTCCACACAGTAACTGTGGGAAATGGGTGTGAAAATTCCAGCTGCAACCCAGTAAAAAGATTTTGCACAACAGTCTATATCACATTTCTCAGCACAGGTTGTGGGTGTTTGTATTTGGTCTAAGTTTTTAAACCTCTAGTAGTGGTGTGGCAGCAGTGTGCTTTTTGGGGCCTAGTGGATCTGAAGGTGAATCACAAAGGGCACAAAGGGTTTGCAGACTTGGGGGAATTGGACTACCTGTGCAACGTGTACAGGGTGCAGATGCCATCACAAGCTGTCAAATGTAATAAGGACCCTAGCAAATAATCAGGAGGAGAAGAAAGTAATGGTCTGTGGCCCACACCTGCCAAACCATTTTGTTTTGTGGGTTTCTTGTTGTTGCCTTAGCAGAACAATTTGCACTAAAGGAGGTGAAATTGATTTTTGATGGTTTCTTCTTCTTACCTGGATAGATCCATATCCATGTCTGGCATTAGAATTGGACTTTAATGTCATTCAAACATTTGACATGATGTGAAAAAATAACACGAATTCTTAAGTCTTGGTATTTGCAGCATTCTGCTAAACAACAGGTTCAAAAGTATAAATAAACATTAAAATAAATACAAAAACTAAGTTCTAAAACAAGATCTGTCATTTAAATTGCTACGATTTAAATGACAGATCTCAATAAATTTACATTATTGCGTAACGTGTAGCAGGGAATAGCAGAGCAACAGCAGCAAACATCAGCAGCAACCGTTCACGAGGTTAACATTCAGAATCAGAATCTTAGAAGAAACAAAACGAAACTGAGGTGCAATTCTCTCTGTGCAAAGAAAGACACAGTCACTCAATAACAAAAAGGAACAAACACAGAACATATATCTAAAATATATGTGTACAATATATATACAAATATGTCTACTGTATAAACAACAGACACAATTGTTTTCATATTGCACTAGTTCCCATTTGCTGGTGTTGATGTAAGGGAGGGGCGGAGCCATCTGCTGCGACCAGTTGTGGTGAAACGGGGAAGACAGGATAAAGACGTGCTGTGGAAGAGAGCCAGGGATTAATAACAAGCAATAAGTCAATGCAGAGAGGTCTATTAACACATAGTGATTGAGAAAGGTGACTGAAGTTGTAAGCATGTAAACATAATACTGTGAGAAGTACAGCCACTGAATCACTTTGATACCTGGTGTTACTTTTACATCCCTTAAAAATAAACAATAAAGTTAAATAATAATGAAATAATGTTAATTAAACTTTTTTATTATTGACCTGTGAAGTTAGAATCTCATGACTCTTGGTCTCACCCTGCAGGTGAAAATTAAGACCTGCTGCCTTTTGAGGCTGTGTTGCAGTAAAAACAATAAAGAAAAACGTGCGAGACATTAGAAATTAAAAACAGTAGGCACTCAAGTGGTGGAGCAGGTTCTCTAATAATCCCTGGACTGGTGGTTGGATGCCTGCTCCATCAACCTGATTACCTCTGTGTGTTTGATGAGATTTTTTAATTAATAAAGGAAATGTCTTGATGCATGCTCAATCATCCAGGTAAGTAAATCTCCCAAACATTGATTCTGTTTATCTGGACGTAGCGTTTTGTGGGAGAAACTCATCCAGGTGACTTCTTCAGTCTCAGCTGACTGCAGGTTTCCCCGATCTTATAAACAGTACATTTGCATAATGACTGAAACCAGCCCACTGAAGGAACAATGGGCTGGGAGGTCAGTCCCTTAATCTTAATTATGCAAAATCTCATTAACTTGGTGGACCGACACATCAAATTCACCAGGGAGGATATGAAAAGTGGCAGGTTAGCCTTCTTAGACTGTGAGATTTCCATCAGTAATGGCGGTACATCTAAAAGCTGACGTGTACCGTGAACCTACACATACGGATCAGTATCCAAGGTTTGACTCTCATCATCCACTGGAGCACAAACTGGGTGTCATCAGGACGCTACAACACAGAGCGAACACCATCCCCACTGACACAGCGGCCAGGGAGGCAGAAGAACAGCACATCAAGAAGGCCCTGAGTAAATGTGGTTATCCCAGCTGGACTTTTTTCAAAGCGGGAAAGGCACCTAAAGAAAGCTCCGGCCAATCCAGGAGAGAAGAACAACCGCTGCCCAAGCGAAAACCTGTAGTGATCCCATATGTGTCAGGAGTATCGGAGCAGTTGAGACGCATTTATCTAAACACCGGGTCTCTGTGGCTTTTAAACCTCAAAAGACGCTGTGCCAAAAACTGGTCCACCCTAAGGATCGGGTCCCCCGACACAAACAGAGTAACATAGTGTACGCTGTTAAGTGCCAGGAGGATTGCCAGGATTTATACATCGGGGAAACCAAACAACCTCTGGCGAAGCAGATGGCACAACACAGAAGAGCTACCTCGTCAGGCCAGGACTCTGCAGTCTATTTACACCTACAGGCCAGTGGACACTCTTTCAATGATGAGGATGTACACATCCTGGACAGGGAGGAACGCTGGTTTGAGGGCGGAGTCAAGGAGGCCATTTATGTGAACAGGGAAAGACCATCTATGATGCCACAAAACGCTACGTCCAGATGAACAGAATCAACTTTTGGAGTAATAAAGGAAATAAATAGAAATAATATTAACAATAAAACTAAAAATCCCTAAAGTTCAGCTGCACACAACATCATCCACAGAGTATACAACATAAACCTTTTGTAACAATTCAGCCATCATGGTGACAACTGGTCAGTGTTTATTACACCTTTGCTGCCATCACGTGGGGGAAAGAAAACAGCCAGCTATCTTTAATGTCCCTGCACGCAGCACAGGAAAGGCCATGCCGCCCGGTGTTTCTGAGTTTTATGTTATTTTGTTATTTCATTTGTATTCTTTTTAGTTATCTAGTTATTTTGTGAGGCCTAGTTTGCAGTTTAGTTCATGGTTTATCAGGTTCCCTTGTGTCATGTCAACATCTCCATGTTTCCTGTTTTATTTTGAAAGAGTCCAGTGTTCTTTGTTCATTGTATTTAGTTTCACTTCCCCTGTCCTGTCATTAGGTTCATGTGTGCCAGCTGTGCTCCCATGTGTGGCCACTTCCCTTGATTACCCCTTATGTGTATTTAGTCTCTGTGTTTCATTCAGTGTATGTC